AGCCCAATTTTAGGGAAGGAGTGTATAAGAAACAATCACTAACACTTCACAAACAGCTCTTCCAAAGAGTCTCCAGGTCTCGTCACCATAATACCAAGAGGCATGATCCAGCTTTTGTGGGAGGCTGAAGGCTAAATAATTTGGAGGATCCCCTTTAAGAAAAATAACAAATACAAATGCCAGTAGCTCCTGCAATTCCACTCTCCATAAGAAATTATGAATAGAAATACCCACAGCTTCCCTGGTAGGGGCTCATGGAAGTGAATTCTGAAGACTAACCTTCATTAGCTTTATGCTAAACCTGCCTCTTAACAAACTATGTTAGAATGCTATAATTTTGCAAATCTTGTAAAGAGATGTCTAGCACTGCAGCTAGTGGTTCTTTATTTTTGTTTGCTGAACATAGAATGCAAACCTTTTGTCTGATAGATCCAGAAATAAGTTCCCAGGACAACTGCAATTTTATGGCTCTTACTTAAAAGGGGTTTGTTCAGGGAAGAAAAACAAGACCCAAAGTTTGATGACTCAAGCTGTTACCAGACATAAATACTTCATATTTTACCCCGCTGCATAAGTATTATTCTTTTAAATTTTCAGATGAGAGAGGTGAGGCTAATGTAATAATGTCCAATGTCACATGGCAAGAAAGTGGCAAGCCTTGGATTCAAACTTAGGTCTGTTCAAAGCCCAAACTCTTTCCACTTCTTTGTGCTTCCCCAACTAGGGGGTTAGCAGTAGAGATACTAAAAGAAGCAATCTGGAAGCATTTGAAAAACAGTATCATTAGTGGCCTTCAATATGGTCAATTTAAAAAGGGACAATGATGCAGACTCTTTACGGGATTTGCAATGTTGGAACATTCTAACATAGCTTATTAAACAAATATGACTGTAAGTGCTTGTGCCTTGTGGGTGAGAGTATGGTGGGGAGTACAAATGGGAGCCAATCACGTACTTTGCTCCTATTGCATTGGACACAACAGAAGGCCATCTAATTACAAATGTCCATGAAGCCAATGGAAATACAAACTGAAATAAAAGTATCAGAGTGATAAATTTGGGATTCATCAGCAATGAGGGTAGTCATAGATGAAGCATAGGAATGAAGGAATTTCCTCTGGAACATCTCTATCAGACACAGGGCCTTCCAATCCCCAACAAGAACTCAGAAATGAATGTGCTATATTCAGGCTACTTATTGCCCATCATCCCTCCCCAGATGTGTGACTCAAGGTTACACAACTGGTCCATAAGGAAATTTCATCAAGCTTATGTTAAATTTTCAGGCATAATATTAAGTTGCCATGTATGCGCTTATATGAATGATCAAGGAAAATGTCTTCGTGGAGAGGGAATCTGCACCACTCAGAATTCCCAGCAGTGTATGTTAAAGAAGATCTTTGAAGGTAGGTGGGGACTTCATGAGGCAATCTTTACCAGAGAACACATCAACCACCTTAAGTACTGATGGGGGCCGGGGCCTAGGAGGGGATCAAGGAACTAGAAAATTGAGAACCTTATGCTTTCAAGGAGTAAGAGTAGAATCCCAGGTACTGATGAAGAGACAAAGGCCCTTTCCTGCAGTCCCAAGACTTCTTAAAAAGAGGCAGGGAGACTGGTAAACTCAGGACTGCGTTTGTTTTGTTCATGGTTGTATATTCCTGGGACCTAGCACAATGTCCAGTATACCGTATGCATTTAGTAAATATTAAATAAACTAATAAACAATTGTCCTACAAGTTTATGTTTATAGGTTGCCGGACCTGTCTGACTATATTCCCACACCTTTTTATACCCTTACTCTCACTCCTCATCCCTAAAGTAAGGGATCTTGGTTGCTTCCATTCCATGAACCACACTCCCCTTGTAATCTGTCTGGCCGCTCACTGGATATGCCATTTTCCCCACATTTCTACACGTGTGCATTCATCCATCACTCAATAAACATTAATGACGCATACTATGAGCCCTTACGAAAGATGAACCAAACATGAACTATGTACAAAGAGATTGTGGTCTCATGAAAGAAATAATATGACAAAGGAGAAAATGGTAAGTGTCATAAGAAAGGCACACATAAAGTGCAGGAAGTTCAGGGCAAGGAAAGATTAGAGGTGCAGGAAAGCCTGGGACAGAAAAGGC